ATGCCTTGTTAAAACTTATTAAGCATAATTAGTTATATTACAATGCGTTACTTATCATAGATTTAGTTTACATCTGGTTATTTGTTTTGGAGCGTACAAAGACATAGCAGAAGGCATTCAACTAGAAACCAAGTGCGCAGGAGCGACAGCGCTTCACCTGACGGCAGGTGTTCTGCCTGCTAAAACTCACTGGCAAACGAATGAAGAGCACCCTCCATCACCTGCGTTCGCGCTCAGAGCATATATCTAGGATACTACTAATACAGGATCTTAAAATCATGATAGCTAGGCTTTGCTATCGTAGCCACAGTAATAAAAGATACAGAGCTCTGTGTAACTTTAAGGACTTCCGCTATTATTAACATGTTATCATGGATTATTGCGCGAGCGCGAGCGTAGTTGGTGGTGGTGGGAAAGAAGTGGGGAGAGAGGGCGGGTGGGAGGGGGCTCTAATAGGCAAAAGCAGTTGCGCGAGATGGCGCTTGCAACTGTTATCAATAATCAAGATGGCATCACCCTTCGGCCGTCGTGATAACCTTCACTCCATTTGAGTTGCTGAAATCCAAGTATATTCAGGCTAGGAACGAGAATTTCGTTCAGCTGTGAGTTAAACACATCTGCAATTGCAGCTTCCACGGCAATAAATTATGCATTAAGAATAGACTGTTGACCTGTGACCTCCATTTCGACACAGTGATGGCTTTTCCTACATTGATGTACTACACGACTTATTCACGAGCCTAGTCGAGCCATTTAGATTTTGTGTCGCAATTCTGCATTTCCTCCCTATACCTTAAGGTTAAGGATGAGAATGTTCCCTCTTCTTTTACACCTCTTGACCCCCAGCTGTCAACATCCTCAAACCTCGTTTTGACGATCCCCCCGACGTCCCGGAATATCGTGACCGTACGTCAAGCGGTTAGATTTCGGCCAACTGTTGAGCACGCACCGGGCGCAAGGACGCACGGACGACGATACGGCCCGCACGCTCATGCGACTATCAATCGGTGCATCTGACTTATGTGCAGATGAGCTAAAAATACTGAACGTCTCAATTGCCGTCTGTTGCCCCTATCATATCGCCGTTTCACTTGCGCCCCTTGGAAAATCCAACCAACCGACCACGGCCGAGTCACCTGCCTTGGCCTTTGTGTAATTTGCGTCGGGTGCCCTTTAATCTACTGCCCTAGTTTCGGTTTTTTAGTCGAATCAACATAACAGCGGTGGCGCGTTGCGTGCTGTAGTTTGCCAATGATGAGCTAAAAACCGATAGTCGCCAGAGCGAATAATACAGCATCGGATAATTATTCGCTCCTGATAGCGGTCATCCGTAAAAATTTCTTGTTACTGTACCTTCATTAGCAGAGGGGAGGTACAGGGTCGGTGTTACGGTATTGTAAGCTTACAGGCGGCATATTGGCCGTTTTGTACATTAAAAGCAAGACGCATGTTGATTGTACTAATTGTTATGTGTTTCTCTTGTATTTTACAAAATTTGCCTCCCCTGCTGCCCTTCTATTTTAGAGAAAATTCAAGGACGTTTCTCACATGCCCTAAAAAAAATTGCACTTGCCTTTCTCGTCGCTATAATTCGGCCCTGTAACTGATAACAAATGGGGGTTAGCAGCAAACACAGGGTCTGCCGCTGGGAGGGCGACATCTGCAGCAGGTGCAAGATTATCCAGCGTAACCCATATGCACACACCGGTATAGAGTGGGGGGGAAGTGGGTGTTTATTCTTTTGTGTGCTGCTGAGGAGAAACTTACTGCTATATGTTTTATTGAGATTCATGTGATGTACTGTAGGTACATGTATTGGACCTGCAGAAGAGGCCCCTACTGTGTACACCACCTATATTCGCCGCTGGACACAACTATATATGCGTGCGTGGGCTGTGCATCGTCCACGTGTGTATGGCTGTCGCTGTGCGTGCGTGTCGCACGTTCACAACGTGCTCGCTGCGTGCTGTTGCATGCGTGCGTATGTACGTGCAACTGCGTAGCGTCGTGAACGTACCACTGCACCGTGCATGCGTAGACGTGCGTCTTGCACCGTAACACGTATGTGCGGCGTGTGTTACCGTACACATGCCTCGTGGCCATGGTGCAGTGCTGCGTGCGTGTAAAGTGCACGTGGATGCAGTGGTGTGCGTGTGGGTCATACATGTCCGTGCATGCGTGCGTGTGCAGGTACCACGTGATGTGCGTGCGTGCTGCACGTACTCGTGCTCGTGCGTCGACCGGGGGCCCGGAGGGGTGCGTGTATGTAGTACTGTGCGTGCATGCGACTGTAGTGTTGCTGCGTTGCGTGCGTATGCACGGTTACGGTTGCGCTTGCATGCGATGTGTTGATGCGTATTACGTGCGGCGTGCGTCGGCACCGTACACATGCGTGCATGCGTGCTGCGTATTGCACGATACACGGTATGTGTCCGTGGTGCGTGGCAGTGTACGTACACATGCGTGCAGCGTGTCGTGTAAACGTGCACGTGGGTGCGTTGCCAGTGTGCGTGTGGTCATACATGTACTGTGCATGCTTGCTTGTGCAAGGTACACGTGTGTGCATGCCTGTGCGTGCGCTGCGTGCGTGCTGTGTACACGTCCACGTGTATGGGTTGCGTGGCGTGGTGCGTGCGTGCTGCACATACATTGTCGCCGCACGTTAAAAGGCGTGTGCCTGTGCGTCGTGTGCGTGCTGTGCGTGCATGCGTTACGTGGTTGTTGCATGAGGTCCATATGTGAAGTGGGTGTTTATTCTTTTTGTGTGCTGAGGAGTTTAATGCTAATATAGATTATTGAATTCACTGGTGATACTAGTGGCTGATACCGAATATTAGCTGCCAAGTACCTGGCTACCAGGATTACTGGTATCGCTCGTATTAGAGACTACCTGCCTCGATTATTTACCAATGTACCAGCTTGAACATTGCACTGGCATTTGGTCGTTGGTTATTATATCTCTGCTGCTGTTAGCGCATAAATGCTGTCAATGATAACACTAACGTTAGTTTTATAATACTCTAGACTGCATGGAATACGCAACGAAAACTACTGCGACCTCAAAGTCAAAATGAGCTAATAACTATTATTACTGTTATTAAGCTATTTTCGATTATTACACTTCCTTAAAAAGTGTGCTAGTATAGTCAGCCTCTCTGTAAGTGGATCGCTGCAGACTTTTACGAAAGGCATTTTAACTTGGTTATAGTCGCTTATGACGAACGTATCGGCTAATCGGGTCAAAGGTCAATGGGCACAGGGCAGATTTTAGACATTTTCTGAGGACATGGTCTGACTGACGGAGCGATTGAAAAACTTTTTTCTTTCAGTGGTGGCCTAGCATTTTTATGGCTTTATTGAAAGGACCATGAAATGTACCTTCTGCTGACATGCGAAGAGTAAGTGTCGGATAACCTTTTGACCCTCAAGAGGAGGGTTAAACATGGATTTGTTTACTGTCTGTTAGAAAGAATTTGACTGCCGGGTTTGCTAGAATCTATACATGCCTGGATGTATAAGGCTACAATGTCACAGTGAAATTACAAAAGCTAAATTTGGTTGACGAAGGTTTATGCTTCTTAAATCGTATAATTTCTATGTCATTCTGTACTGTCAGTATGTTACATGTAACGTATGCCACTGCCAGTGGCCACTGCCAGTGCATGTGGTGGTGGTACTGTGTAGTTTTTGCCTGCGTTAATTGGTCACAGGTGGCAGCTCTCTATTGCAGCCTGTAGGCTTGCGTAGGTAAATGGATGAGTGCTTACCTATTCTGACTTGCAAATAATGGTTGCTACTACGTACGATGGGAGCTTCCATCTTTAATCTGAAGACACTTAAACGTACGCGCCATCTCGTGGCAACTTTCATAACGATCCCAACGAAGATTCCTTTGAGAAGGTTCCTGATACCATCCCTGTGCATTCCACTGTTTCGGCGTGTATGTGAACACATTTGGTACTAACAGGGTTTACTAGAATCCCACCACTCCACCACAGAGTCACCGCAGTAGACGTTAGATGAGCGCTGTCGCTCCGCGGCACTTGTTTAGCTATGTTTTAAATAAAGGTCGTGTGTTTACCTTTATATTACCTTTATAGGATCTATCAAATATTTCATACTCTGGTAAAATATAATTTGTGTCGTGATTAGGACAAGAATCAACAAAACACAAAAAAGTATAGATAATATCAGTTAGAAGTAAATTTCTTGAAAATGTGACTGGGGCTCATTAATGAGTTGTGATAGTCTATCAATTTTGTTACTTCTATTTCGCTATCAATTATAGGTTTTTGGGCCAATTAAATGTAGTCAAGGCACAGAGCATTTTTTTGTTACAGTAAAAACGCCCAAGTTCTGATTGGAAAAAAAAGTGGTAGCCACTTTCCTGTAGGAACAATTGGACCAGGTGATTATGGACTGTGCTTCAGCATAGCAAGGATAGTTAGGGTAAGTAACCTACACCTTATTATAAGCGCAAGTGTAATAGCCTAGTCGGATACCTGAGTCTGAGCCATGTCGCTATGTCATCATTACGAATTAGTGAGGTACGTAGGAGTGTATTATTTGTTTTCTTTGTTTATGTTGCTTTCTTTAGAAAATAATGCAGAAAGAATGAAAATGTACAATTTCCTTCGGTAGACTGCGCTCGGAGGAGGGGTGAAGGCAAAGCTAGTTGTTCACGGTATTTTAGCCGTGGAACACTGCGGGGCGCCGGCGTTGGAGAACGATGGACTCTGCTTCACATGCCTAGCATCCATCGGTCCCAGGAACAACATCGACGACTACGACACAGCTGCCACCCTCGCCGCACAGATAGCGGCAGAGTTCTCCGTGTCCGAACCACCAGAGGTCGCCACTTTCAGCATCGCCTGCACAGATTACGCTTGGCTGTCAATCGTAGATGATCAGCTTTCACAAGAATTGCTGGGTAGGTTAGGAAAATATATGACGATACCAACAAACCGAAATGCAGAGTTTGAAGAAATGCTGATACCATTCAGATGAGCTTCTGGCATGCAAGAGCAGTACATAGTGGAAGTACTTTTATCTGAGAAATACAATTTCACGTATATTGCCTCAGTAATGTGATAGAGATAGTGCCTGCATGCCATATATTTATTGATTATAGTTAGGACAGATTTAGTATTCACGTAGTGAACCAAACTGATTAAAAAATTATTCCCGCATAAACCAAAATATTTCTATTGGCATTCGTTGGCATTATTTGTTTTGTCGTGATGCTTGGCATTGTCATTCAATTGTTCTGCTATTAAAAGATTGTTTTAAGTTTCTCAAAAACACACCCTCTATATCGCAGGTTAGACACTGTAGTGTGGCTCATAGGGTCTATGTCCCCCAGGGTACTGCCGGAACGTACCCTGGTAACTATTTGATATGGTTAGGGTTAGGGAGTAGACGTAGGCGACTCCCTAGACTCGTTAGTGGAGTAGGAGAGGTACGGTCTGGCATATTAGATAGTACCAGGGTACGTTCCGGCAGTACCCTGGGGGGCATAGACCCTCTCAGCTGTAGTGTGTGCCTGCACAATGCTTATTGTATGCATTTGTAAATGTGATGGAATCAATCGTTCCTGTGCAAGGCAGTTTCTAATTGTGCTGAAACCCCATTGTTAAAACGGAGTAGCTGAGATGGTATATCTTTCAGAATGAAGATTATTGCCATATAAGTAGTGGTTCTGTATTTGTTTGAATTATATATTTTTAGCACGTTTGATTCTTATGATCTATTTAGTATTATTTTACAAATTTAAAGATAATATTAATTAGCATCATGCTTGGCAGTGTATTAAATCAGGTAATCGATTGTTTCTTTCTATTTTTTTATGTAAATAAAATTGCTACTTGTGAAGTTTTATTCCACTCTTGGTTACGATCAAATCCATACATAGCCAAAGATTCTTAGCCACTGCAAAGGAACCCCACCAACCGACCAAGTGCTAGAGCATTTTCAATAATGCATTGTCTCGCATTCTATGCTGAACAAAAATGTTGGCTTGAGATTTCTTTATTATGATAAAACAACCATTTCTCATGATACATTGTCAATAAAATACAATTGCGGAAATATATTAATAAGTATGTTTCTTGCACCCCTATCGGAAAGGGTGATGTCAAATGAATACGTTATCCCTACTTAATTGATAAAATGAGAATGGCACGTTTCTTTGAAAACATTCACATTGGTAATAAACTAGCCTGTAATAATGGTATCACACGAATAGCTTCATCTGATATAATCAAACCATGAAGACACATGTACACATGCAAAGTGTGGTAACAACCTAGTCTATTTCTATAATCATTTGGGTCTCCGTTATTATGCAAGCATTTCCAATTTCAGTTGGCAGTTGTGGCCCCTGAAACCTATAAACCGAACTAAAAATTAGAAAGCACTCATAAATGAGCAGATCGAGAGACTACCTAAATGCAATTTAACAAAATTTCCTACTAGAAGACTCGATTTATTCTTTCTCTACAAGTGTGGTAGTCGGAAACAACACTAGTTTCCCTAAACAAAAAAGTTAAAGACCCATATGTAGCATACCAATACTAAACAGCTAATACTGATATGACTTTCAGTTTTGTGGAGTTAATGTGACGCTGCAATTATTATAGTATTATTTCAAATTTACTATTCAATTATAAGGTTACAATAAATAACATTAGTAGGATTGAAAATAGTATAATAGTCTCACTTACATAAAAGATTCAGGTCGGGAAGCTAAATTAAAAGTCAAACAAAATGGTCACATTTTCTAATGCATGAAAATGAGGAAAAGAGACCAGCAGCTCAACTGCATAAAGTGCATAACACGTACAGTACCCAAATGAAGACACAGACAACAACGACGTGGTTTGTGTTTAAAACCAAAATATCACAGCTTTTTATGACATTTAATTTTAAAATTTTATGACTAAACAGACTTCAATTTAAAAAGACCGGAACGGAAATTATTTTCGTTTTCTTTTTGTTAATTTCAAACACTATCACTGTCTTCCTATTGCTCTCCACACACTCTTAATTTCCATTCAGTTTGTTAATAATTCATCACAGTGAACAAACACGGCTTAATGAAATCTCACATGATATCATTACTCTCACTTCATTTATGCAAAAACGCATTAATTCTCTCAAAAATACGACCACAATGTTCAACCGAGCCCACAAATCAAACATTTGAAAGGACTGTTGTTGTCTAGTGAACTGAATCAAAAACAAATACCCCAGAAAATCATCAACCACCTTAAGCACAATTGAAGATCAAACCATGAGTCTGGAGCCAGAGGTGTAGCGCGTTTCGCTCCATATGTTTGAATGTCCACAGTTGGAAGACCTGCGCTGGCATTGCCTGCAGCGTCTGTACTGCTCAACCTGTATATTGAAAATACACAATTGTATGAAAAAGGTGAAAAGGTGAATGTAAACCTAGATACACACACATACCCATGCACACGCAAACATAAACAATGTTTTTACGTACTGATGATATAACAGCAACCCAAGATGAGAGCAAATGACCAGAAACACATCTATATGTGTCATTGTGTCATTAATCTAGTGTGTAATTTGTTACAAATTGTGTTATTTTCACACCTCTTACAAATTGTAAGAGGTGTGAAAATAACACAATGCAGTTGCTACTTCTAGGTAGCAGCAGATTTTACGTTTTTACCTTTTTACCTTATCATTTGCCCACTTTTAGGCTATGTCCTAGGCCATCGCTATGCTGCATGCATAAACAAGAATTGATACTACAACTGCTTTTTAAAGTAAAAATTGCCTACGATGCCTATACCAAACCTGAAAACCCATTCCCAAAAATTTACAAAAGTCAGAGAAAACAATGCTAGCTGTTTGCATATATGTAATATACATACATGCAAGCATGCCTACTATACAGCATTCAGAGTGAGTATTTACTATGACAATGATGCTCATACTCTCCAATTAGGCACATGAATTATTAACAGAAAATTAAGTGTGTATAACTAGTGCCACCTGGGCGGTACAACTGGGTAAAAGGAAGTATTCAGTGCACTTAACTGATTGGCATATTTATATGGCATCGATTCACCCAATAATTGCAGCCGGCCAACCTGATTGGATATTAATGCTAGGTTGACCAAGCTAGACCCATTTGTCTTGTTTATCAGTTTTTCACACGTGCACATCAAAGTGTTCAACCTTGCAGATTTTCGATGGCCAGCACTTTCATTAAACATCTCATCACAACAACGACTGGCTAGAGCCAATTACGTCATGCCGATACGTCATTTACAATCGAGATAATCTAAGTAATACCTGATCTAGGACAGACTTTCCTGGAGTCTGTGCGCAGAGATTTTCTATGTGTTCATTGTGCTGCTTGGCTTCTACTGCATGCGACCAGTCCTGCTCTAAGCTGCGTCGTATGTCGGTAGTGCGCTGATAGCGGCTCGCCTGCTCGTCCACCAATCTAGAGTCGGGAGAGAGAGAGAGAGAGAGAGAGAGAGAGAGAGAGAGAGAGAGAGCGAGAGAGAGAGAGAGAGTAGAGAGAGAGAGAGAGAGAGACGAGAGAGAGACGAGAGAGAGAGAGAGAGAGAGAAGAGAGAGAGAGAGGAGAGAAGAGAGAGAGAGAGGAGAGAGATGAAAAGAGAGAGAGAGAGAGAGAGAGAGATAGAGAAGAGCAGAAGGAGAGACGACGAGGAGCAGAGAGCAGAGAGAGAGAGAAGAGAGAGAGAGAGAGAGAAGAGAGAGAGAGAGAGAGACGAGAGAGAGAGAGAGAGAGAAAAAAAAGAGAGAGAAGAGACAGAGAGAGAGAGAAGAGAGAGCGAGAGAGAGAGAGAGAGAGAGAGAGAGAGAGAGAGAGAGAGAGCAGAGAGAGAGATAGAGGAAAGAAGAGAGAAAGAGTAAAGAAAGAGAGAGCGGAAAAGGAGAGAGAGAAGAAGAGAGAGGAGAGAAAGAAGAGAAGAGAAAGATGAGAGGAGAGAGAGAGAAGAGAAGAGATAGAAGAGAGAGAGAGAGAGGAGAGAGGAGAGAGAGAAAGAGAGAGAAAAGAGAGAAGGAGAGAGGAGAGAGAGAGAGAGAGTAGAGAGAGAGAGAAGAAAGAGAGACGAGGAGAGAGAGCAGAGAAGAGAGAGAACAGCAAGAGAGAGGAGAGAAGAGGCACCAGCCATCGCAGGGCGACGAGAGCACGAGAGAGAGAGAGAGAGAGAGCAGAGAGAGAGAGAGAGAGAGAGGGGAGAAGAGAGAGAGACAGAGACGAGGGAGAGAGAGAGAGAGAGAGAGGAGAGAGAGAGAGAGAGAGAGAGAGAGAGAGATGAGAGAGAGAGAGAGAGAAACGAGAGCAAAGAGAGAGAAGAAAGCAGAGAGAGAGTAGAGAGAGAGAGAAAGAGAGAGAGAAAGAGAGAGAGAGAGAAAATATATTAAAGTAGATAGAATGTATAACACAGGGCTAACGAACTGTGATGACCAGAGAACTGACATAAAAGTTTAAATGTACCAAACAATTGAATCATCGCAGCTTGGATGATTTCGTAGCTTCATTTTACTCCGCCTGTTTAACGAACGTTGCCATGACGATTACAAGTTGGCAGTGCACGCTGTGATCAATGTGTGAACCGAATAACCTCGTGAAAAATTACTACTTGAGGAAAAGAACTTGTAAAATTGGCCAAAAAAAAATTTGTAGAAAAAACAAAAAACAACCTTGGGAGCTGCCGACATTGCACGGAATCTGCAATAAGCTTATATACAAGCTTTACTGTTACAGTATACTGTTTCAAAGAGCAAGGCAAGGCAAGAGAGTTATACTTCCCTATCAGCAATGCAAACAGTTTCCTGGAGATAACTGCAAGGTGTAGGCATACAATAACTTACGCGATACAACCGAGAGAAAGAGGAGATAAGCGAATTTAGTTTTCCTAGCGAGCACTTAGTGATTACGTAACCGTATATAGTAAAAGTAAAAAAAGTATGTCCACTTTTTCACAAAATGTAAGTGATTCTGTTCACTTTTAATGGTTAAATTTCTGGATTATACTTTCCATTTTGCTATTCCGTTCGATGTGAACAAACACTCATACATAGCCCATAGCAAGTATTTAATGTCGTGATAAATATATCAAATCGCCCAGATTTTTTGGATTTTTAACTAGTTGAAAAACAATCTTATTAGGTAAGAATTTGAGGATAGATTTAGTCCGATTAGTGCTTACTTTTCATGTTAAATAATTGCAACAAAATTTTTACAAATATACACCACAGAAAATTCGTGACGTAGTCAATTTAAGCCGCACTCAAGGAATAAACAAAATGGCAGGCGACAAGTGAACATACTGCTGGCGGGCCTGTCCGAGCACGGCGGCCTCCTGCCTCTGCTTGTCGGACTGCTGCTGCAGGCTGCTGCGTGTGCGCGAATCGACTGCCTCCAGCTGCTCCTGCAGCAGATCACGGTTGCGCTGCCGCTGCTCAGCCAGCCGCTCTACGCTCGCGTCGCTCCGGCCAAACACGACAACGTCGGAGTCTGCCCCCGTCGCCGGCGCGAGGTCCAGCCTGCCCGTCAGCACCTGGAAAGTAGGCGATGATCGTTTCACCAGAGTGTACGTGCCTTAAGCCTAGCGCACACACCCGAGCAAAACGGGAAATATTGTTTTCCAGCATTTCGCGTTCTGCTCGGCGAGCAAGCGCACACACGCCACCCGACACTGCACACAGCTGAGCAAAACATACAGAAACACTGCGTACAGCGCCGCTGTCACATGACATCAAAAATAGCCATCCAATGGACATCCAATTTTGTGTGTCATGTGATATTTTTAAGGATATTGATTGGAGACCGTCTGTGGCGTTTCGCTGTGTAGCAGAACGATTGACGCACACACCCGAGCAAAACGTACGCTCAGGCGAAAACACGCTCCGCGAATCAAGCATTGCTTGTTCAGCGAAACACGCTCAGCTGAGCAATGTTTTTTGTTTCGGGAATCCGCACACAGCCACGAACATCGAGCGAAACACGTTTTGCTCCACGTTCAGGTGTTTTGCTCGGGTGTGTGCATTATGCTTTACACGTGTGCATGCTTAAATACCGAGTTCGCAGCCCTTTTATCAGTAAGCAATTTTACGGAATATTTTATCACAACAATGTATGTTGCGATCATCGGGCAGGCCAGACACTTGCATGTGAACAACGGTCTGTAAAACGCATGTGCACGAGTCACTGTATACACTTCAGTGATGGACAGGCAGATCTGTATAGCCTCGTATAGCTACTGGAAACATCTGTAGTAACTAAAGATACAATCATTTCGGTCGTCGTAAAGAAAATAGGAAGACGCGCGTGGTTCCACACTCACGTACTGGCCCCTAAATAATCTTAATACTTTTAACCTGCCACACACAATATGTGCTTGAACATGGCTTTTCCGTGAACTCAAACTGCCTCCCTTCGATAAAATTTTAATCGTTCATTTAATTATCTTTGACAATAAATTTTTAATGATGGCAATTAAATCGCACAATTCAATACTGAAATGCGGAGAATGAATCACAGATGCTCTTCTGTATGAGAAGGCACCTCACATCTGCTCTATGTATGTCCTCCTGGTAAACGCTGCTTGCTGGCATGGTTCGATCCATACAGTCGCTGTTATTACCCAATATCGATGTGGCCACAATAATACATTTTGTACATAGACAATTGGGCCAGCAGAACCTGTCCACCTCTGCAATTGGATGACAAACGATCACGCATACAGCCCACCCACACAACCTCGTGCTTTTTAATTACCTTTTTATTTTGTAGACTACGGTGTATGGCGAGGCTTGATAATGGGAGAGATGCAGGATGGGTAGGAGTGAGAAGGAGCTTACACTTGGATGCTGTTCCATCTGAGTAGGATGTCTCTAGAAGATGCATCTTTGAGAAAAGCGAATGAGACTTGCCTGTATATGCAGAACCTGCACTTTCGTGGCATCAGATATATCTTATTTCAAATTCATCAAATTTTAATGAAAACAAGTATAAGCTATAATCCCCAATAACCTGCCTGATAAACTACCTGGAAATGCACAAAGGTCAGCTTTACATTTAAATGCAAAAGTTTTCGCAATCACAAACAAATTCCTTTCATGCATATTTGTAACATGCTTAATTAAAGCAAGTGCTACAAATCTTCCAGTCAATGTTATTCATTCTCATCATCACCAGCACTGTCACCATAGTTGTTACTGCCACATCTATTAATTATTATTATTATGCTACTCAAAATCATCATAATTCCTGTCAGTATCATCACCGTCCCAATCAAGTTATGTTACCATGCATGCATGCTGCATGTACCTGTGTGTTCAGTGCCTCCCTATAAAGCTCCTCATTCCGAGTTTTATGCCTTTTGTACTCGTCTCTCTGCCGTGCTAACCTATAACATAATATAAGGCGTTAATAATAATAGATTATATATAATAGATTATAGACCTATTAATTATTATTCACTCCTGATAATATTAATAATTTGTATTAAGCAGATCCATTAGAGTCAAAACAACAATTATGTTTACTGTAGCTTTTACATCAATACTTACAATCATTACATTACTATTACATCATCGTTACTACTGCCGCTTCTGCTGTTACTGCTACTATAATACTGCTACTGTGTATACCACTGTTTGCTTACTCATATTCTTACTTGTCTTACTATTACGCTTAGTCTCATTTTACTCCCGCACAAGCACTTACTCCTCGGCCAGTTGTATTTGTTCCAATTTTTCCTGCAGTCGCCGTTCTCTGTCTCTTATCCTAGCGTTTTCAATCTCTTCAAACTAAACAAACTCCATCAATTCCAGACTTAAAACACTACTATACTAGACTAACTTCGACGGTCTCACTTTGCTCACAAATAAAGTCTCACAGGCTATGTGTGAATACACATTATTAATGATAATGAATCAGTTAAAAACACGTTGTTCACACTACTAATTTCATTTAATGTCATATGTACGCCATCAGTGTATATATACTGTACCTGTTTAGTGAGCTCTGAGAGATACTCTCTCTGCCTGAGATGCTTAGGTGGAGTTACTGCACGCCTTGGAAACACGTAACCTTGCTGGGGGAATGAGAGAGAGAGAGAGAGAATTCTATAAATTATTTATACATAATGCACACAGGCCCACAATTATAAAGGGCAGGAAATGGCCAGGTGCTGGTCACTAAAAGCTTTTTGGATAGGAGCCGACAGAAAACCCATATCTTTTATGGAAAAAAGGAACAGAGCACTATGATCTTTAATACAGATGAAATACACTTTACAAGAGTAATACTAATCTGATAAAGAAGTGTGAATAGATGTTGACAGATTGTAATGTGGATTATTACAGGGTAGATTAAATTAATCTAACCATGTAAATTTGACTAAACATATTAAACGTTCATAATATTATAAAAATAGAGTAAAGATGTATAATTAGCGTACTATTTACAATGTTAACATTAAGAACTGATCTATTTTACTACACAGGAGGAAAACAGGATTCAGCATACAGAACCCACACCAAAAAGCATTTATTGTGTATCTATTTCCTGTAAGTTTATAGGAATCTAGAAAATATCAATACATTGAGGTAGAGAAAGTAGCTAGTAGTCCTGTAATGCGTTTAGCTGTGAATGTACTGAGCATATGCAGGGGCATGGTGCCAATTAGAACCTGACACCATGCAGTTCTATTAAAGGTCACACTCTTACATTACCCTGTACGTTTATCATTTATTTAATACGGCTACTACTCTCCCTTCCGCTCCCTCTCCCCCTTCATCTCTTTATGCATGTGCACAGACACCGTACCATTTCTTGTGCAATCAAGCAACAAGTCAAATGATGCATGCCAAATATGCTAATCAAAGCTGCTAATCACGTCAGTTTCATTTGTCATTACATTATTAATCAAGCCGAGACAACAAGACACAAGTCGGTCAATCAAGTTAAGTAACATTGATTAAGCGATAGAATATGCTGCAAAAGAAATGAGTCAGACAGATAATAAGAATCAATAACAGTGCCAAAACGGCCAAAAAGGTCTGAGGTAGTATTTTTGCGTGTGTGTGTGTGTTTCGAGGGTGGTGCTCGCCCAGCTAGGGTCCGGGGACATGCCCCCCAGAATTTTTATTTTTTTAAATGGTGCAATGTGGTGCATTCTAAGCTATTTTGGTGCATTATAAGCACTGTTTTATGGAAGAACTGTGATTTTCGTCAGCGAGGTGGTGTTTTGGGCAAATTTCTTTGTGGCGGCTGAGAATTTGAGCGAGGCGGCCCGCCTCCTTCGTGTCAATGCAGGGGAAACACTAAATAATAATAATATAGAAATAATTAATCTACCAAAGAACTTTCAAGAAAGCTGCACCGTCATGCCACAATGTGTGCAAGGAAAACGTAAATACGTAAATACGTGCAAGGAAAACAACAACTCACTTGCTTTGCAAAATATAGTGACAGTATAAAATAATTAAAGATCTATTCTACGAGACTGCACTAACATTTTTACTGTGAGCATCCCGTTTCCTAGAGTGCTTTGACTCGGCAATCACAAGGTTAAACGAAGCCACTTCCTGACCATATGACCTTCTTCGCTGTTTCATCACCTTTATAGAATATAAGATTACGTGCATTATTTTCATAATAATCAATATTAATTGTGATATTCAGTTTTTATGCATATATATGCTATAAAACTTGGTCATCACTCCCATTACTTTCACGATAGCTTACAACAATGAAGCTTCGCTGCACCACTTTATTACAGAGACAATCAATGACCAGATGGTTGAGAGATCCATCATAAAAATGTCATCGACCGAATCCATTGCCCACTCTAGGTGATGGGAGAGATCCACAATCAATGATACAGCATATATCACACGTCTCCGATTCTTGCATGGCATCTAGCAGTAGCCTGCCTGCGGCGGCAGTGAGTTTACCTCCTCGGATGAGATGGCGTCGTAGTCCCTGCGCAGCTGTACCTCCTGCAGCAGTCGATCGTGCTCGAGCTCCCGCCGACGCAGCGACTCGCGGAACGAGACGGGCTGGTTTCGCCGCTCCCGCTGCCAGCAGATGTAACACATCTCCTGTCCCGACGTGTGACGGCAACGCGGCTCAGCGGAGTCAACTCTCGAGCTCTCCGCAGCGCTGGCATTCCTGCACACACAATCAGAATCTCAAGCTATAGTTTAACAACAGATGTAGAGTACTTTAAGTGAAAGCGATTGGTTTATGTGCGCAACAGCAGGTATGTATCAGTGAGCACGTGCCTGTGTTTTTTCCTGCAGCGAGAATGTTAACATATGCAATCGCAATCCTTAACTGTGGAAGACCGGGTGTAAATATAAAATGTGAAATAAATACATTACACACAAGCCATTTTATTTCGGGTGGCTCGAAAATTTAGGTTAGAAAACTATCTCTCTTTTGCATTTAAGATAAGCTCCTGGTTCCTAGAACGTTATACTCACTCCTTAAAGCAGGAGCATTTCAAAGTCCTAACTTGCCCAGCCTTACCAGTGCCAAAGATCATCCCATCTAATAACCATTTTCATCCTAAAGACACATCTGTTTTCACTACTATTGAGATCATATATACCATATTATACTATTTCTATATATAAATATTAAGACAACAGGTTATGTTATTTACATGTGTGTCATTACTGCACGAGGATGATGACAGCGACAATGCTTTTATGTCCTTGGAAACCGCTAAAATGTACATTTGCCCCTTTTGTGTTATTTTTGTTTAATGATCTTATCAAGAGCTAATAATACCTAGACTGTACAACGGAAAAACGGGGAAATAGTGCTATTTCACGACAACATTATTCTACTTTGCCTGCGAGTCTAGAATAATTTTATGGTATTGCATTAAGCAGAATTCTTTGCTCTCTAAAACAAGACCAACCGCTTGTCAATACGATACTCCTAGGCTGAGATATTGGCTCCTAAACCTCCCCTACCACATGCCTCACGCCGCCTCGCATCCCGGTTATTCAGCTACCTCAACGCCCCTAAGCATTTTGGCTATCGGTTTCCGTCACCGCTTGGAGCGCTGATAATTGATGTCACATGCCCAAATTTGGTACTCGTAACTGAGCTGCGTTGTAAAGACTTAATTTAGAAAACATTGCCGGCTCCATCATGACGGGCATTAGCCGTGCTAGGAAAGATAATGGGAGATAAGGGCATAGGCGATGCCCCCGAAAGTCACCTATGATAACCGAAACGCCGTTCATTCATAAAGTTATCGCGGAAAAACCGAACTTTCACGAAGCAATGCTTAGAGGCGTTGAGGTAGCTGAATAACCGGGATGTGAGGCGGCGTGAGGCATGTGGGAGGGGAGGTTTAGGAGCCAATATCTCAGCCTAGGAGTATCGTATTGACAAGCGGTTGGTCTTGTTTTAGAGATCAAAGAATTCTGCTTAATGCAATACCATAAAATTATTCTAGACTCGCAGGCAAAGTAGAATAATGTTGTCGTGAAATAGCACTATTTTCCCGTTTTTCCGTTGTACACTCTAGGTATTATTAGCTCTTGATCTTATATATACACCTGCATATGACCACTATAAATACTGCTGCTGACAGTAGCACTGTTATTTCATTGGTACTACGTACACAGGGTTAGACATAGAAGTCAGGCATCAATGCCAATGATAACGCTATTGCTGAATACGTGTCATCGACTCAAAATTAACGCAGTCAAAATTCAAGATGAGCCCTAGCGCCTAATGATTTGTACATTACTGGCATATATATGCAGTACGCATGCAGGAAACAACACACCTGTTCTCTGGCGACAAATCTCGCGCTCCATCAGCACCTGAGCGACCTGTGTGCAGTCCAGCGGACTTCACGTCACTTCCAGCTGCAAGAAAAATAACACCATTACAGATGCACACTGACAAACATTTTGTCTGTGCGACAACGTCATAACTGTCACAACTGCCTGGGGTCTGTACAGCCTTAGTAGAAACAATTGAAGTAGCTTCTAGTATGCAAGTAATGCAAAGTAATGCAAGAAATGCAAGTAGTTGAACTTGCTGTAGTAGCAATTGCCATCCTTCGATATAACCCCATCAAACAATACTTATACTTGTATGTGTTACGAAGATCTCAGAAAACTTCTTGACGAACGTCGTGTAAACAAAATGCATTTCCTTCAATTTACACACATTTCTATAACTAAAGAGTATCGTGCAACCAATAAAAAATTCATGACCTAATTATATTATTAACTATCTGTCCGTTCATCGCAGCATCATTTCATATGATCATGAGATTAAAGTAATCACGTCATTACCTCAGCTCTTTTCATGCTGATAAAAAGAGCCTTATTTTCATATTAATTATTCAACAGAAGCCAATCAACTTGATCAAAGCGTGTTTTCATCTGCAACCAATTAGCACTGGCACTGCCTACAGTTCTGTAGATTATACATAAGTGCTATATGTTCACTAAGTGCAAGGAGTAAAACCACTCATACAATGTCCTTAAAATATTCCTGTCATGGAATACCATACAACAGATAGCCAAAGACTGTAAATACAGATAAAGATCGACCAATGAACGAATTACCAGTTACAGGGTACAAGCATTCAGTGACTACAGATGCAAATACACACTACAATATATAGGCAGGCGAGTAATTATAAGAACTTTTAGCGTCTTAGAACCACGTACGTTATATTTAAGCCGCATTATCAATGAAACATGTCCTAATATATGTCCTACACGTGCACTGTCTGCTGTCATACATACGATCAGGAGCTAATAATGACAAAATTTGTCATTATTAGCTCCTGATACGATAATACTCGGAATGGACTGTATAGACACGTTGAACACAAACTTATATTATATTGGTTGACATACTGAATCGTTATTACCAATTCACAGAGCGAAAATTCTGCATAATCAATGACTTAACGACTATGGATCATAACAAATACAACATATATACTACCCATTATATATGACAGTCTAGTTGCATGTCTATGGAGTTAGACTCTAGTACTTAAAATAGTTGTTTCTGCATGTTATTACGTTTACTCAAAAAACACAAAAAATTGCTCCTAATGCAGATGGCAGCATTAGAGATGCATTCCGTGTGCTGAACCAGAATTATGTAGTCAACTGAAAATGATCTCAGTAAACAGTGCTCCTATAGACATAAACAACGAATAGTACAGTATCTCACTCCAAATTACCTCCAGACAAGCTCGAAGCAGGACTCTCATCAAAATAACTAGGATGTCGCACAATCCTCATCAGTAGCTCTGGTTTTGCATCAACATAACTAACTTTTTCTCCCACGTGATTCAGAATGAAAGAACTTGCACCTGGTCTGGCACACATCACTACAAGGCCTGCATGCAAAAGCAGTGCGAGCGGTTCCGGCCGATGCAGCTGTTTGGCTTCAGATGTTCAGACCAACCTTTCTGACATACGATTGGCATTTCACTATTGATAAATTGCAAGTCGGTTCCGCCTGTCGTCTGTAGAGTTTTTATCTCATGCCAATTGCACTCTCTGTCGAAATAGGTGGTTTGCAGGAGAAGCAGAATTGCCACATCCTCCTGTAGGTCAGCGTCCGTCAAATATCTCGCGTAACTGAAACTTTAATCATCCTCTCCGGAAAACTGTTAATTAAGATTTCCTAATTACTTTCCAGAAGGATGTGCTCACTGTTTTTGCCTAGTTATGCCATGATGCTGAGAACGGGACGTTTTCTAGAACAGAGAAATTATCACCACGAGATTGCACAAGATGAAATTCGTCTATCACAGAGGTGCTTTTGCCCCAGATATCCATTTATAGCACGCACTCTTTCCTTGTGACTAACTGCATGCAACACATCAGTTCAAGACACTACATTCCAAAACTCGATGCACACCGTTTGCCAGATCAACCAGGTTCTTGTTCTGGAAGACATTATCTTCATCATTCGCTTTCACCGTCCCTCTCTTACACACACATACGCCAGCTTCACCTCTCTCTCTCTATGCTATGGATAATACTAGGTGGCGCCACATACACACTAGAAATGTGGTAAATAATGCAGCTTTGAACTTGACACGTGTACAGACAGTATTGCATGACAATCACATTAATTGTTACGATGATCGGTCCGTTTCTTCACCATAGCTGCAATGAGGTCATCTGCTCAGGAGTACGTCAATACCTCCTACACTATACCAGCATGTCATTAATATATAATGGGTAATTTTGAAATACACAGCAAAACTTTCACGGAATATTTTCCGTCAGACACGGCCTATAGGCTGACCTTAAAGGGGCATTTATAATGTAATTGCTGAAGTGCAGTAAAGTCCATCTCAGGCGCAACACAGACGATCAATTTTCAATTAGGAGAATTAGTCAGTCATATTATCTCTCACAAGGGAAATTATAGTTATTGTCTGGGCATTGGCTAAAATCAATACGATGAACAATTTATTACAGGCATAAGGTCACGACAATTCCTCACTGTATTTCTCACGTATTTGACCAATATATCATCTTTAGCTTTCATGACTACGTACCACACATAGCAACTATTACTATATATAACAAGAACAATGTCTAAAACCTTTTTTTTCAATGTGGACAAATCTTCTATTCAAAGTTAACTTTCCACTCTAATAGGGCACCCACACACTAGCTCTGCACTGCTTTGTAAGCCTGTTCGAAAAAGTATAAACATTTAAATATTTGCATAGATCTATTATACATGAGCCATACTTAATTTGTCACAATAAAAATTACCTGTTACAATATTGCGAAGCACCTCTGGTGAAGATTCAGGTGAAAGTATTCTCACCAATTTTGGAGGTGGAGGAGATAGTTTATGAGAGGTTTCCTTTGAAAGTCCTGGTAAAGGTGATTGCGCTATTGAACAGTCTCTATCAGTATTTTCCATGTGGTCTACATCTGATTTTAAAATGATTCTAAAGATACAAAATAACAAAGTATCGAGTTATTTATAAACCAATTTACAATGAGATTAAAATTAGTCAGTTACTGAATTAATTAGCTAGTTAGTTTTTTCATGAATACAAGTATTCACCAAAGCCTCCAACCACGTACCTCAGCAAACCAAAGTGAAAGTAATAGCCCATGCGGCACTGTTTTTTGGACATGTGGCATGTGTGAACTTAAACGTGTATGCATATGCTTCATAGAAATTATACAAACCGTTTTACGATATTACACCGACTTGTAATTTAAAATTAGAAAACAAAGACAATTATTACCCCTATCAAAATAATAATTATATACTACATCATTCCTTTAAGCCACATCTTGATTACTCTAAATTTTTCTACAAGCTCTTTAATACTTCTCCAGATTTCTAACTATATACTATATATGAGTTCAATGCAACAGATTTAAGGCCAGGGCTTTATCGGCGAATGTATAATATTAATATACCTAGGTCTGTGCAGTTCGCTAGTACTACACCGTTTATCGTCAACTCTCTGAACCTTGCATTCCTTATCCATTACATCTCTGTCAACAACAGAATCTTCAGACTCAGGTAGACAATCCCGAGAGGCTTCTGCACATTCAACAACTCTTACATGCTGCAGCGCAAAAAAATAAAACAAACTTGATGTTTCCAGACACATATGTCATAACATAAGGAACCACCTCCACTGATATAGTAGTAACAGTGAAGAATTGAGCTTATTAGATATAACATATCTAACATATATGTATATATATGTAGATATATCTAATCAGCAATCATGAATTATTAACTAATACACAATGTTTAACTGAATTTGATACCAATATCAATATATACACATGCACGCACGCACGCACACACACACACACACACATATATAAAATCATAAAATAATTTTGATGACATGCTTTCACAGATGTTTTACTACTAGCACCTGCTGGAATACACCCACATTTACAGAAATGCGTATACTCATGTTGTCACAAAGTTATGTATCATATTTCACAAGCAACTTACATTCACAACATCTATGCTCATGATAAAGTCTTTGAAAAACTTCATCTTAACCTTCAGATCGAAAATGTACAGCTTTCCAATTCCAGTGAAGGTAAATTCTATGCTTTGTGCTGCTGCAATACACCTTGAAAAAATTGTGATTAAATTAAAATCTTCTTAATCTTATCACCTATTGTGCTGATTATGCTTTATTACCTTCATATAAAGATTTAAAGTAATATCAGGAGTACATGCTCTCAAAATGATCATCATTGGCATTGATCAGCACTGATATCATGTACTCCAGGAAACATCAATATCAAAAACAGACATTTTAATTAATCAATAATATACATACAATATCAGGATTAAATAGTAGGTAATAATCCTATTGTTTACCCAAATCATTATCCTAACAAATAAAAGATGTAATAGTGATAGCTCATATACGTAAACAGATAGATACAGATAAATGGATAGATAGATAGATAGATAGATAGATAGATAGGTATATAGATAGATATCTGGATATAGATAGATAGATAGATAGATAGATAGATAGATAGATAGATCTATAGTAGAGGTGTAACGATACACTATGATCACGATACGATACGTATCTTGATACGTAGGTCACTATACGATACGTATCGCGATACACAGACAGAAAGAGTCGGTCGACATAAACGATCAAACTCTAAATATTGCTTTACTGGTATAATATGTATTCCAATACTTTTATAACACAAATTATTATGAGTATGTCAAAGCCATGCTCATAGTAAATGATCAGTTATTATATATATATTTCTATCGCTGAAACACACCGAGAAGTTTTCAGTGTGCTCTAGACTGCATGACCTGTAATCAACAGCTTCACTTAAATGCGCGCCATACACAGTGCTACAGTACGTGCGCTATAACAACACGCACCAGTCAATCAGCATTCTTGATTGTTTTGTGGTAACAATTTTGGCAGCAATACAAGCACGCCATATACATTGACCCAGATTTCTACGACAGCCGAGGATATTTACGTGATACTGAGAGGTAGTTCATAAGATAAATTAAAAATTAAATTAAAAAGGAATTACATATATGCTTTATTAAATAGTTTAGCTTGCCTTATTCACTGTTTAACATCCGTATCGTTTGTATCGCTTATCGTATCGTGGGTCACTGTGTCGCGATTCACTGATGGATCAGTGAATTGTTACACCCCTAATAGATAGATATATGGATAGATATACACAGACAGACAGACAGATAGATAGATATATAGATAAATGAATAGATAGAAAGAAAGATAGATAGATAGATATACATACCTAGAAAGTGCAGAAAATATTTCTCTGACACACTGTTCAATGATGTCCCGATTGAAATCCAGTGACGAGCTAATTGTGGCAAAGTTAAGTTTAACCACAGGCACTCGGCCTACAAAAAAGGAACAACTATTGAATATGTGCACTGATACTTAATCACATTCTGTGACACTGACGAAAGCTCATTTTACTTATTCAAGCATCATACATGAACAAATCACCTTACTTATTGCAAAAGCATTGTAGCAATACATAAAGAAGTAACAATATTGTAGTGTTTGCACCATAAAAGTGCTTCACATATTAATGACTGGCATAGAACCTAACTTTACCAACAGACAACAGCCTATAAATTTTAACTACATGTCATGAATTCAGTATATAGCTATTAACCTGATACATGTTGTTTAACACAATGCAGTCCATGATTAAGTGTCAATCTTTCTGCTAGTACAAAGACTGGCCTTTGTAGAAGAATATGTTTATTGTGCCCAACGTCCAGCCGCTTTTGTGTGAAGGAGAATGTTCCCAGGCCTGGGACATGCACTCCCTGTATGACAATTGACAAGAATATTAACATTTAATCTGACTGTTATAGATTCAATCAAATACTATACTACAGCTATCACCGAAAAATAGTTCATTTGAAATAAAAGCAGCATTGTATCTCGAAATCAAATATTATACCTCTTTCTTGCCTTGTGGAAAAATATAAAAATTGCCATAATTTTCTTAACAACGACAGTTCAATGTCATATGAAACCAATACAAACACTTCCATTTGTCATTGCAATGGTGTTTTGATTTCCTCTCCTGCCCATTAGAGGATGCAACCCCATTTTCCCATCTGTATATTGATCCAAATATATACCAACCCTTGGATCTTGACATCAGTGCCATATGACTACTTTCTGCCACCTTCTTTGAATTTTTCCACAAGGAAAAGCCAGCATCTACTTAAATCGCTATTTACCCTTTACTGCACGAGCTGTCATGTGCAAGAGATCAAAGTTGAGCCCTATATTGATGTTTGAAATACTTGTTGAACTGCTACTATAGTATGGATGTAAGGTGAAATTAAGTAACATAAAATTAAAACACACAAACTTGAAATGATACAGAACTAACATTATCATTGAACCTCAAGCTATACCTTCTGTTGGTGCAAGTGTGTTCTGATAAAATTGCACACGCCATCCCAAATTAAAACAACATCTGAAATGAGATACTATTCATTAATAAATGTACCTTGAGAATAAAAATAACCAAAATGCGCATTATGGCAATATATCACTGCACTAAGACAGTAAACACCTGAATATACTGTAATTATGTATTCAATAACACAAGACACGAAATTTTTCACACTTAAAAGGTCCATTGATTATGCAATGTTGACGAATGCTAGAGTAACTGGCACCTTGTGTAGTTAATAACGTACATTACCTTATGAGCCAAACTGCGTATTAGGTTTGTCCAATATCCTGTTGTTTACTAAAAATGGTTAATGAAATCACGCAGTCCAAAAGCAGGTTGTTTACAGTTTCAACGCTGCCGGCCGAAAGCGGGTGTCGATACGGGATTTATAGTGCACTGGAATTTTCGCCACGCATGCATCGGCCGTATACGCATGTATCATCAGTGATTTCGTAAACATTTTGCGACGCTCGTGATAAGGAACTTTTTGTCAGCGGCTGTCACGCTGCGTCCGTGATTAGACGTGTGTTTTACTCTATTTCATGCTTTAGTCACATGGCTGTGGTTCGCGGCCCCGCGCCCGGGCGCGCCCGGCCCCGTGCCCGGCGCCGCCTATAACCGCTGACACCTCCGTTTTCATACTGGCGTCCAAAACATACGGGCCAATACATAATCAACAGAGCGTATTTAAGAAGAAGAGCGGTACGTACAACGGGTGAAATGCTGAAACCATGCTGAGTATTAGTCGCATTAATAACTTTGCCCGTTTTATTTTTGACGATTCTTTGCGTATTATGATCAGCTGTCGCTACCTTGCTAATAAAAACAAAACCGCTTGTTCCCTACGATGCCCTCTACGCTGAGATAATGAGCGGTGAAAATCATGGTATTTCACCGAAAAACCGACCCAGCATACGTAGTGGCTGCGCACGTCTCTCGCTTGTGGCCGATAGCTTTCGGGAACCTCGCGTGTTTCCGTCATTCATTGACAATGCAATTTCTTATTCCTCTCTACTATCTTTTCTCGCATTTCCAGTCATTGGACGCCAGCATTACTCACAAAACGTTCTTGCTTATTTATCGCCATGTTGAATGAACCGCCACTTCCGCTGAATGAAGGACGCTGCCAAACAAATAAAACGTATCGAGTCAGCGCTACACAGCCCCGCGATCCGGAAGCAACATACAGTCCACAAAACGAGAGACAGGCGCCAGCCCTTACTATCTCGAGTCGGTTTTCGGCAAAAATACCAGATTTTCACCGCTCATTATCTCAGCGTAGGGACATCATAGGAACAAGCGGTTGGTTTTACATTATCAAGGAAGGACAGCTGAAATTAATAATAATACAGCAAAGAATTATTAAAATAAAACTCGTAAAGTTTACTAATTTCACCGAAACAGCAAACTACAACATGGTTTTTACATTTCACCATTGTACGCTCTCCTTCTTAATACGCTCTTGATATCAACAACCGATTTCAAGTCTTGTTTGTAATGTAACCAGCAGTGATATTGGACAAACAAATACGCGTTTGGCTATAAGGTAATGTACTTATTAACTACACAAGGTGCCAGTTACTCTAGCATTCGTCAACATTGCATAATCAATGGACCTATTATTCCTTTAATAAGTAAACCACATTTTACAACCATTAAATATTGCCTACTTTTGCTTAAAAATGGCAAATTACTAGCAATGAATTATGACCAGCAAAGGCTGTGATATTGACAAGGAATGCCTGGCACAAGTTATAACCAAACTTTAAAATAAACATACGGTTTTAGGCATTACTATTAGTGTTTGTTTAGCAACTGCTAGAATGGAATCTCACATTTTGATAGGACAACTCGAGTTTTGCATTGCATTTTGCGAATGCAACAGTTATATTGTCGACAAAATCACCTCACCTTCATCAGTCAGCAATGGGAAAACAGCCACAAATCGTTTGGTCCTCAGCTCAGTTAGTATGTTTTTCATAGTCTCCCCCATTATTACTATGGGGTGGTGAAAACTCTTAACATATACGCAACTAAAAAATAAACAAACAGATTATTTAGTTAGTACATACTATTAGTATTAGTAACACATAGTATTATTAATATGACTATGAGTTAGTAACATCAGTAATCAACCATGACTTTGAGTAATAGTACTATATAATTGAGTAATTGCACTAAAAGTAAAAGTGCCTTGAGCAGCGCATGTGTGCATAGGTGTGAATATGGTGTAACGTGTGTGAATGTGTATAGTTATATTGGTGTAGGTTTGTACGAGAGTGAGTGCGTGCGTGCGCATGACTACGTATGAGTGTTGAAATGATTTTAAAGTGTACCCTAATCACTTTACTAATACTTGTACAGAATTAGAATCTGTCGCTTTTTATATATTTTTTCTTCATGTTGTATTGCGCTGTTTTGTAGTATCACTCACAACATTTTAATTTTAACTGCTCAACAATCTATTGCATCTATCAAGATTTTTTCTCTATGAAAAAGAATGTGACTGTGAGTCTGTGTTCGCCTTCGGCTTTGCCGTCGCCGTCGGTACATGATCATGTAATGAACTAGGACTATTATCTCCTGGTATTATTGTATCCCCCGAACGAAGTTCGTGGGGATACTATGGATTTGGCATCGTCGCGCCGCCGCCGCCGCCGCCGCAGAGATTTCCTTGTGAGCGCTCTACCGGCTGCAGTTCTTCTCGGATCATCTTCAAATTTTGAATGAAGATGCGTTATCGTAAAGCGAAGACACCTATCAGAATATTTCGACAAAAAATGTTGTTACCATGGCAACGATGACTCCGCCCAAGAACCTGTAACTTCTGCACTTTTTACCCGATTGTCATGAAATTAATATTTGTATTAAAATTTAAATTTAAAAATAAAAAAATAAAAAAATAATATTTGTAAAAAAATATTAAAAAATAAAAAAATATTTGTATTAAAATTTGTATTTAAATTTATATTTAAATTTATGATTGTCATCAAATATATATATATATACATATATATAAATAGGACATGTTATATCGGCCCTGTGTGCCAAATTCCATGACAATCGGGTAAAAACAGCACAAGTTACAGGTTCTACAATATTTCCACAAAAATGTTGTTACCATGGCAACGATGACTCCGCCCACGAATTTGACTGTGCCAGTAATTGTTTATTCACTTTAATAGTATATGGAAACGTGGAAACTTCAAAGAAAATTACCGTAAACTGGGACCAAAATATCCAATGGTCCGGCGGACCATTGACTTTGAAAATCTGATTGTCCTCCTGATTATTTGATGGCCCCGGACCATCGGACCATCGCTTATTTCGACCCCGGAAGTATTAGGAGAGATAGACGAGGTACGAAGGGCCGCTGTGTATGCAGCCGCAGGCCGCAGTACAAAGTCCACGGCTTGCCGAACCTATAATACTACGCGGCTGAAGGCACCGTGAAAGCCCCCCTGGGTTTACGGCTATACGCGGGATTACGATATTACGGGGCAAAGCTCTCTCTGCGCCGTGCGTTAAATTGATTTTTTAATGACGTGTGGCTCTTAATATAATAACGACACCATGTGTAGCTGTTATTTATTGTACGTTATTAAACGCATATCAAGATGATATCGATTTCACGCTGACACGTACGACACCGCACTCATCGATTATCGATTTATTGTAGTCGTGGGACGTCTGTTTCTCGGTGAGTATATATTATATATATCTAATATCTATTCTATATAATATATATATATATCAGTATCAGTAACTAGTGTCGATCTAGTATAGTAAGTAGGTATAGTAAGTAAGTATATTAGGTAAGTATAGTAAGTAAGCATAGTATGTAAGTATAGTAAGTAACTTAAGCATATTAAGTAAGTATAGTAAGTATAATTAAAGTATAGTAAGTAAGTATAGTAAGTATTAAAGTATAGTAAGTATTAAAGTATAGTAAGTAAGTATAGTAAGTATTAAAGTATAGTAAGACTAAGAAAGTATAGTAAGTAAGTATAGTAAGTATTAAAGTATAGTAAGTAAGTATAGTAAGTATTAAAGTATAGTAAGTAAGTATAGTAAGTAAGTATAGTAAGTATTAAAGTATAGTAAGTAAGTATAGTAAGTGTAGTAAGTATTAAAGTATAGTAAGTAAGTATAGTAAGTATTAAAGTATAGTAAGTAAGTATAGTAAGTGTAGTAAGTGTAGTAAGTATAGAAAGTATTAAAGTATAGTAAGTAAGTATAGTAACTAGTAAGTATTAAAGTATAGTAAGTAAGTGTAGTATAGAAAGTATTAAAGTATAGTAAGTAAGTATAGTAACTAGTAAGTATTAAAGTATAGTAAGTAAGTGTAGTAAGTCCGTAGAACACGTTCGTAGCACGTGTACCATCTCGTGCGTGACCCCAGGATTCGGCACGATGAGGAAATACGCAAATTTCTCTCGTAAAGACGCGAAATTGATCAATGGTCGCCGCGCCGGGTTTATATATACCCCCACCGAATATATATATATATATAATATGCCCTCGAATTTGGCACATGTCTCCACTGCGGACAGCGCTTCATACTTTAACATCCCCGCGGTCGCG